TCTAAAAAGAGCCGGAATTCCCATCACTAGTGCTTGCAGTTGTTCTCTCATGTAAACATTTTCCACTAAATAAAGATATTTGTGTGCCCATTGGACATCGGGCCACTTTATAACATCTTCTTCCCACTCTGTAATCCCATATGGGTCGGAAAATTGCTTTCTATCTGGCAATGTTCGTTTGGCAAAGTAATTTTCGCGATTCTGAACAGTTGCCTTGTGTACATGTTAACGAAAGCCGCCATTCTTTCTTCTCCAACAATGCCCGCGCATTCTGATGACGTGCTCCGGAGCAAAACGGCGGCACTGCCACGTGCGATGACTGATGACGCCCTTGGCCAGTGTTTCTGACCCAAACCGCATAGGACCTAAACAAACTCAAGATGTACACCACAATTCTTTATTATTAACAAGAGTGTAAAATATTTACATTTAAATGACAAAAACTGCCCTAGTCTTGAGAATTAACGGACGTGATACCGCTCCCGTTCACAAGGTGTCTCTGCAGGCTGAATTCAGTCCGGATGTGGGTTGGGGGCGCGGTGCTTCCCCGTTAGCATCACTTTTGGACGTGTGGGATGCAGACAGCTGCTCTTTTCCCCACATAAGTTTTATTACATAAGAAACAACATCTAGAAAACGCAATAGGTTTCCGTCTTTGTCGTAAGCGTGCATGTTGAACAGAACTGTGTTCCGACTATGCGCAGTCTCGGTGAGTGTTAGGTATCCGAGTAACGGGTGATTTGTGGTGGCAGCGCACTCGGTGACGGTGTAGTTTCCAAATGCCGTCACTCAACATGGACGCGCTGCTGGATTTCTCGGAATGCGTCGCGGATTCTCCTGACTTCAGGTGAGCAGCTTTCGCTCGATTAGTTGTGGCGTGAGCTGCTACCTCAATTTTCGTGCGTTGTGGTGTTGTTCAGGCGGAACTTGGATCAATGTGAGGAGGACGTTTCTCTGCTACAGACACAGCTGGACAAGGTGCGACACTGACTGTCCCCAGGGACCAAACCCTGCCTCAAATGACCAAGATACAACTACTTCTGTCGAAATGAAGCTCCTCAATTCATTTTAACAGAAAGCTTGGCACCAAAAGTCTCCAAGAAACAATATTTATGTTTAAACTCACAGAGCTTCTTGCCACCAATGCAATGCTTCTGTCTAAATGAAACTCCTCACCTCACTTCAACGTTCCATGGCAACAAGATGCCACAAGATGATGACAAAACACAATTTTTGCCTTTAAGTGACGCTTCTAAACTTACTTCCACACACAGTCGTTCCATGGCATCAAGATGCCACACGTAGCATGTGACATTGCACTGCTTTTCTGTAAATTGAACTACTCAACTCATTCTAACATGCAGTAGTTCCTTAGCACTAAATGGCACAAGGTGGCAGTAAAAAAATATTTATACCTTAAGGAACTGACTCAAGTCATTTAAAAATAGTTCCTTGGCACAAAGATGACAACAAACCGATACTTTAGTGCAGTGGTTCTTAACCTTCTTAGAGGTACCGAACCCAACCAGTTAACATGCACATTCATCGAACCCATCATTATGGGAGAACTTTAACTATTTAAAAAAGGTATTGTAGTTTGGTCTCTATATTACCTTCAACATATCGTGGCTGGGGTTAAAATGTATGGTTGGCTACATATATTTTCAAAGTAGCTATTGTTTGAAAGGTCAACATGCTATTGGTCTTCTGAAAGTATTTGTCATGCCACCAATCAGGTAACGAGGTTGTGCGGCAAGATGGTGGAGGCGGGACAAGCATACAACGCAGCCAATCAGATGTTCCTTGCAGGCATGTCTGAGCTTTTCGCACTACACAAGGAGGACGGCGTCATTGCGGTGAGGACCCACCGGCTTTGTAGAACCTTTTTAAACAGTGCCTCTTGGATTTTTACAACTTCACTAAAATATTCAATGATATAATATTTAGTTCTCCAGGTGGTATTGTGAGGCAAGGCAAATAAGGAACCAATCGCGATCTCCCAAAATTTTCTTCCCATCGTAAGATATTTTCGTTAATTTTTATGTTTGATTACATTTCATGTTTTAAATGTACAGTATTACTTTTGTTTCTTATGAAGTGATTTGTTTTCACGCACCACTAGAGAGCGCCATTGTACCGCAAGTCGTATACGTACCTTCAGAGCACAGGTGTCAAATTCTCGCCTGTACCCTGCGTATTTGAAATGCTTCCCTTCCCTCCTCCAGCACACCTTACTCAAATGATCAGTATCAATGTCAGGCTCCTGCAGAGCTTGCTGATGAGCTGATCATTTGAATCAGGTATGCTGGACAAGGGAGGAATCTAAAACAGGCAGATGGACCTTGAGGACCAGAGTTTGACACCTATGCTCGACAATTTTTTGTCTTCTCTTCTTAGAACTGCCTGAGCCAGTTCAAGCAAGGCCTGCAGGAGCTGCTCACTTTCCACACTGTGAGAACGCACCACACGCGCACACACACATGCGCGCGCGCGGAAATAATGCTGTTCTGTGTGTGTGTGTGTGTGTGTGTGTGTTGGATTAGGATGTCAAACCGGGATTCGGTGCGAGTCTAAAAATGTGTGTGTGTGTGTGTGTGTGTGTGTGTGTGTGTGTGTGTGTGTGTCAGCTTGGATTTTTGTGTGTGTGTGTGTGTGTGTGTGTGTGTGTGTGTGTGTGCGTGCGTGCGTGTGTGTGTGTGTGTGTGTGCTTTCAGATGTTGCTAGATCAGAGTCAGCGAGCCATCAGCCATCAGCTCAGCAGCCTCTGCAAGCGGTAAGTACACTCCTATGCGCACACACACACACACACACACACACATTTTTAGACTCGCACCTAATCCCGGTTTGACATCCTAATCCAAGGTTTGAAACAACGGTCCTCAACCCCCGGGCCGCGGACCCATACAGTCCGTGGTCATTCAGTACCAGGCCACACAGAAAGGATAAATAACCGACATTATTTCCGTGTTATTCATTTCGGAATTTGAAAGATGTTTTGAAAAATTACTGGATTCTCTGTTACATTCGTCTACAGTATGTCACTCTTGGCGCGAGTCAAGGCGCACTTCTCGATCACGTGGTAGTTTACCGTAGTTGTTTTTTTTTTTTTTTTTTTTTTTAATCCAGCAACTAATCTAGCCAAATCAAGTTGCTTTTTCACTGTAGACGTTGCACATTTAAGTGTCCTAAATGATCCAGCTGGAAGCTGAAATTCTTGGGTGTTCTTGTATGGTGACGGAAAACTTTTTCCCAGATTATGTTCAGCAACACTGGAAGGAGGATGATTTTTTTGCCTACCAGTACCTAAACGGCCCCCATCCCACCTTGATTCGACGTTGTAAAACTCTGCCCGGCAACTTCCCCGTGACTGACGACATGGTCTTCATTCCCAATGGCTCAAACTTGTCCAATGAGTTGAAGGTAAAGAGTTTGTCTCATAGTCTTCATCACATTCTTTGACTTTCGATTTGAAGATGAAAAGACCGTTTTGTCAAAGGCACAAGATCTCGGCATTGTACTTTATGCAGTAGCCCATCTACGATCTACGCTCCAAAATAAATTTTTGGCCCTCAAACAGCGAGGCAACATATACCTGTGTGACTACAAACACCTGGACGGACTGCAGGCAAACACGGTCCAAGGGATTCAGCAGTACATGATGGCGCCCCTCGTCCTGTTTCACAAAAGGCCCGATGATAAGCTGATGCCTATTGCCATTCAGGTGACATTACTTTATGCCAATGTACTTAAAGATTTAAAATAAATAAATAAATAAAGTGAGGTAGAGCGGTTCTGCAGGAGGTACTGAAAATAGTCCGACTCACCTCCGATCATAGCTCAGTCTCTTTGATGCAGTGGTTCTTAACCTTCTTAGAGGTACCGAACCCAACCAGTTAACATGCACATTCATCGAACCCATCATTATGGGAGAACTTTAACTATTTAAAAAAGGTATTGTAGTTTGGTCTCTATATTACCTTCAACATATCGTGGCTGGGGTTAAAATGTATGGTTGGCTACATATATTTTCAAAGTAGCTATTGTTTGAAAGGTCAACATGCTATTGGTCTTCTGAAAGTATTTGTCATGCCACCAATCAGGTAACGAGGTTGTGCGGCAAGATGGTGGAGGCGGGACAAGCATACAACGCAGCCAATCAGATGTTCCTTGCAGGCATGTCTGAGCTTTTCGCACTACACAAGGAGGACGGCGTCATTGCGGTGAGGACCCACCGGCTTTGTAGAACCTTTTTAAACAGTGCCTCTTGGATTTTTACAACTTCACTAAAATATTCAATGATATAATATTTAGTTCTCCAGGTGGTATTGTGAGGCAAGGCAAATAAGGAACCAATCGCGATCTCCCAAAATTTTCTTCCCATCGTAAGATATTTTCGTTAATTTTTATGTTTGATTACATTTCATGTTTTAAATGTACAGTATTACTTTTGTTTCTTATGAAGTGATTTGTTTTCACGCACCACTAGAGAGCGCCATTGTACCGCAAGTGGTATACGTACCTTCAGAGCACAGGTGTCAAATTCTCGCCTGTACCCTGCGTATTTGAAATGCTTCCCTTCCCTCCTCCAGCACACCTTACTCAAATGATCAGTATCAATGTCAGGCTCCTGCAGAGCTTGCTGATGAGCTGATCATTTGAATCAGGTATGCTGGACAAGGGAGGAATCTAAAACAGGCAGATGGACCTTGAGGACCAGAGTTTGACACCTATGCTCGACAATTTTTCTGTCTTCTCTTCTTAGAACTGCCTGAGCCAGTTCAAGCAAGGCCTGCAGGAGCTGCTCACTTTCCACACTGTGAGAACGCACCACACGCGCACACACACATGCGCGCGCACGCGCGCGCGGAAATAATGCTGTTCTGTGTGTGTGTGTGTGTGTGTGTGTGTTGGATTAGGATGTCAAACCGGGATTCGGTGCGAGTCTAAAAATGTGTGTGTGTGTGTGTGTGTGTGTGTGTGTGTGTGTGTGTGTGTGTGCGTGCGTGCGTGCGTG